CGTAGCATTTCACTCTTCTGGAAACCGTTCCTCGATACTCAATCGTGACGCCATCCCTAGTACCCATGATGGGTAATGTGCATTCAGAGGCTGTCTCAAACGGCTCTTGGAGGACATTATAGATGAAGAACTGGTGAGGTAGATCAATCGCCCAGAAATCGTGGGACTCCCCAAGAGGTGCCGGTACGTTTTTGTAGCAGATCTATGCTCGCCTCAAACTTCAACTGTGTCTTTTCAAGAAGTAACTCATTCGTCAAGGCCCAAACAACGGTGACGCCTAAATATTTTGGCGCCATTTGTGCCGCACGTGATATACTGCGGAACTCAAGTGTGAGTTTTTCCGTCGCCATGAGGTTGTCCAGGTGGAAGATGATAGCCCCGCTGTTCGTCAGCCTTCTCCGCAGTTTCCAATGATGAACATTACGCGTCAGATTAGCGAGACGAGGTCAGTCGTCAGCCGCGAGTGTCCATGTTAGCTTTTGCATGCCGGCATCTGTTTGATTGCAAGCTCGAGGTCATCTTCATAAATGAACTTCCTCGACCTTTCTGGTGGATGGACGCTGGCATTTGTGTTGATCAATGATTGAAAAACAACTGCACGTTTTGGAGCCTGCTTTTAAAGAGGGTCTTTTATTTGCTGCGATGAGCTAATTTTACGGATTTGAAGGTAAGCAAAGGCAGCTTGTTCATCGCACTCGTTGAAACCAATTCAGTAAAGCATGGGTTCATCTCCATCTTCCATGGCCGCTTCTTCTCCTTTCGGATGGCGGAGGCAGTCGCGTCAGACAGAGCTTGCAACGTTCCTGATCCTGTGCCAGAATCTGAGCTTCGGCGGAAGACTACTGGAGTCTCGGACAGACTCCTTCCATACAGGGAAGGAGTCCAGCAAAGACATTGCAAATAAATTAAATTATTCAATAAAAATGATGACAAATATGATTTAAAGTTTTTGATTCTGAGCATGTTGTTGAAATTGTAGCTAAGTTGTTGATTAGTGATTGAAACCATCAAACAGGTCAGACCTCCAAAAAAATTCTTTGCCAGCAGTTTCCCTGCCACATTTTTGCATACATATTCCTGTCCTAACGATGGAAAGAGGAGCATTGCCAGTGAACGTTTTGACCGTTGGTCTTGCGTGATGCCCTTAACCGTCAATTAAATAGAAGTATCAACAAAACTACTCATAAATAGACAGAACTTAGACAATGATGGAAAACTTTCACTTAAAATATTCGATCTGACTAGGTTTCGAGCTGAGTTTTCTGAAGTAATGAAACTAGCTGATTTCTTCACTTTTATAGGCGTTGGTCAGCGATGAAATATTAGGACAATGTTAGTTCCGCTCAGAGAGCGTCGTTTCGAGCATTCGTCATCTTCAACAGGTTCGAGCGAAATGTCATTGGTTCCCGTATGTCGGATGGGAACGACGTTTTCCTTGCAATTCGTTTCTGTAGGCTAATCCATGTTTTGGCATTTATAACCCATGATCCAAATTCGTCACATTTTCCGTCGCTTGAATCAGCAAGGCTTCTAACAACGTCCCTCCAATGATATTCGAATCCATCACAGGGGACCTTGTTCCTGCGAAATCAAAGCTTTGCCAGACGTAATATGAAGATGAGTCGAGCCGGTTCAGAAGCTATTTCCGGTTTATTGATTTTACCTTATCAACTCTGACCCGCAATGACTTTGATGTCTTGCCAGCGTATGGTAGGTTGCAAGTCAGACCTGGCGCATAAGATCAGTTTCGTCCTTGAGGGATACGAGGTCATTTACCTCCGTTAGTCGTGATCTCAGCTTCTTTGCATACTTGGAAACAATTCTACTGTTCGCTGACGAGTTTATAATCCGCCTGATGATTCTGAACGACTCGGAAGTAAAATATATTGGCAGTAAGCGAGAGATTCTGACTCGATCAAACTTACTGTCCAGTTCTACTCGTCGATGCTTGCCGGAGGAACAGTTTTCGGCATCGATTTTGATCCTATAGTCCATAGACATGCTTCATTTCCGTTGTAACCCCAGAGTACGAACACAGGCTACGCACTCAACACATCAGGAATTTAGCCAGTCGGACCTTAGTGGCCGTAAAACTTAAACAACATGGTAATATAAATTATATCCAACGTGCAGCAAACAAAATTAATAAATAAAATATTTCTAATAATAACGGGACACAGAGGACATAAGTTCACAATATTTTGAATACTAACAATTGTAGGTTACGACCATCACCAGAGCTCCCAGTACTGGCAGATCAGTGTAATCGTCGTACTACTCAGAGGGGCGTCAGACAAACCTCGAAACTCGTCAATTATTGTATTTAACGAGTAGCAGAAATTTTCTACCGGCGGTGTTTTCAGATTACTGGTTGTGCATGAGCAGAATTTCCGTAGTTCGTCGGCCGTCTTATCGTAATCAGCGAAGTAAGGAAAAAGTCCTACGGATATGAAGTTTTTCAGCACCCTGAATGTTGTTTCTATTTATCTGACTACTGCGCCGCTGATGATCATTATATTCCCCTGAACGTCGACGGCACCGTGGTCGTGAAATCTATAGTCTCTGTACGTACGGGCGATCGTGCATAACTCGGAACTTAGCACTCACTCAATAGCGAGGTACAACGTCACCGTCACAATGAGCGCGAAAGATCATCGTGAGATGTCCCCGAAAATTCTGCAAGGTAGGCATCGTTTTCCTTTCCTATATTTGCTTCTGGATGGCCGGCACACAATGAACCTTGCGGGCAACAACTAACTGATTTTCGTTAAAATATGTCGTTATTAATAATTATAGTTCTGTTTTGCATGGCTTGAATAAAATACTTAATTCATCGCAGAAGCCAGGCTGGACATACCCAATTCAAGTGGCATCGTAGCACCCGTGGTGCACAGACAATCGCTGTAATTGACGATAGCAAAACGTGCGCTTACATGCGAAAAGGACTTGCAGCTTCGAAAGAAAGAGCAGCGTAAAACATGGCATACTTATACACGGCGCAAAGTGTCCTTGCCCCCCCCTCTCCTCAATAACCTGAATGTGACAGCACCATCAAGGAGAAATGTGAGCTACATAGGTGGATAAAAAAGGCGCTAATGATCCAATCCTGCGAAAACGTCAACCGTGACAAAGGATACAAACTCGGCGCGGACTGGATGAGCCTCAGTGCCTCTGTTGCCTAAAAACTATTTAACACGCAGCACGGACTGAAAGCTTTGCTTTTGATTCCAAAACTATCGACTACTGCGACGACCAACCACATTCCCGAAAGTTCACCTCCAACTTGCCTTGATGAAGGCCCATGAGACACTGACCGAAACATCAGTGTTGGTCAGTCACCGGACTGACCACAGTATCTTTTGTGTTGTGTGTAAGTTAACCGTGTTTTAGGCTACTTTTTCAGTATGACTACCAATGCACGAACAAATTACTCTATCATCGGATTATGAGGTTTTGCGTCCTCGCACTGCGGATGGACTGGTCCACGTAAAGGGTCCTTCGAAGCAAAGGACAGTATGATTACACCGTGCGAATCTGGAAAGATTGGTTTGTGTATGTTAGGCTAGTACAGACCAGCCTTTACTTGGAAACCTAGAATATCTTGTGGAACTCGCTAAAAGCCGCATTACATGGTTTCAGTTTTGAAATTTGTCAGCGAGTCAGCGAAACTTCATGACTAGAGGAATCAAAATTGGAGGAAAAAGCATAATTACAGGCCACCATTTCTGGTGCATCAAAACCGTCAATCATCTGGATTAAAAAACTGAATATAATGCGGTTTAGTTATATACAATGCAATCAATTTAATCAATTGTTTGATTGAATAGTACCGACTTTTCTGTCCGTGTCTCAAGAGTCCTTCTCAAGGTATGGAGTTGGTTGAATTTAAGAATTGATTCTTCAATTCTCCAGCATTTCGAATATTTCGAGCCAGAAGGCAAGCTTTTTCTCCGCGCCACCCTTCAAGCAGTTTATTGGCGGCATTGGCCGGGGGGGCGGAATATGATTCATCCAATCCGCGCAGAGTTCATATCCTTTGTCACAACTTATGTTGACTCAGAACTGGTTGAATGATTCCTCCTAGACATGATTGTTCATTCAGTTCTTTCTCTGATGATGCCGGTACTCTCTGACAATCGGAGAACGGGGTGGACGTCGTTCCTGTGCTAAGGGCTGCACTCCCCAGAGGTCTTTTCACATTGCTCACTGACTTTAGTACTTTGCTGAGGACGAGGCTTTGCTATTCGTGGGGGTGCTTCATTATCACAGGTCCCTCAAACTCGTCCGTGATCATCCATCTTCTCCAGACAGAGAAGGGACATGTTCGTCTTTGTTGTTTGAGTCA